CACTCAGTTATCTCTTCTACTTGTTCCACTTCTGTCAAAGCAGTATATGCCTATTCAGTTAACCTGGGCTCCCTCTGTTGGTGGTGTCCTTTGTCCAGTAGGACGTTGAAATGACCAGTGTGCCCAGAAGGTTGGAAGTGGTATACACTTATCTGACTTGGTGTGTGGCTGTGTCATAGCAAGGGTTGGCCCCCAGCCTGGGGGTACGGTGAGGGCCAGGGGATGGGCCAGGGGAATCCTTCCCCAGTGTCTTAACCAGAAGCAGTAGACACACATGCTGTCAAGCTATACACAGTCCGGTGCAGTCTCATTTGTCCTTTGAACACATGAAAAGAAATAAAACTCATATGAGTAGGAAGCATCTCAGGTATCCCATGAAAGATAAGCAGAATGCTTGAGATCTCAGGTCAGGGCAGCATGAGATCAATGAAGTGAGTGCCCTTTCCTGGCTTCACCTGTGGCTTTTCCACCTCCACAGTTCAGGAGTTGCCCTGCATGGCTCCTCAGGCCTTGCTGAGTTTTTCCCAAGTCCTGTTTTGGGTGTTAGTTCCTCCCTTTTGGTGGTCACTGGGAAGCTCTGAGTCTGCACATCCAGATTTTCATTCTTCTGGGAGAGGGAAAAGCCAAGCAAGTGTAGAGGTGGTGGTGCTGTTTGATACTGTGTTTACTGTACATGAAGCCTAGTTGATGGTATACATGAAACAGGAATGAGGACTTGATCCCCTGCCATTGCGCCATATCAGGGATGTGTTCCCATCAGGCTCATCTTTGATGGAGGTTGATCATCTGGCTGGAACAGGAATAGGAAACTTGAATTGACTGGAGACACTCCTGTGCTAGTGCTGTGGAGGCAAAGCATTCAGGTTGAGGCTCACCTTTGACATTTGGGACAAACAATCCTGGGAGCCCCTGATTGTATGTCCTGTGGGCAGGGTATCCTAGAGCAAATGTCACAGAATTCTGGGTGGGGCTCAGTTTAACACTGCATGTAGGCCTTCCACCTGTACCACCATGTCTACAAAAGGGCCCCTTCAATTTTCTGTCCATGTGAGTCTGTGGGCATCCTTAGTGCTTCAATAGTGACAAAATTCTCAGACATCCAAACAAGCATGTGTTTATAAGTGCATCAAGGGCCTGGAAGCTGATTTTCCATTTTTTTCTGTGGTGTACAGGCATGTGGTAGCTGCTTATCATGGTCAAAGTCCTACTCATGGGAAGCCAGTGTCCCAGCCTGAATGCAAAGCATTCTATACATTTTATGTAGTTGTGGTCCAACTTCTGTCCTCAGACAAGTGTCCATGACAGATGTGCCTACATTCATGGACTTCAAATCTCTACTTGGTGGCCATTGTCTGCCTGCCACATTAGGTTTGCTTTTCCAGGAAGAAGAAATAGGGCTCCAGTCTCACGCACTCCCTCCACTCTACCTTCAGAGGTGGTGTGTGCACATTCAGCAAGTTTGGTATCCTTCCAGCTCATAGGGCCTTTGAAGGAAGAGGCAGTAGCTCTGCTCACCATCCATAAGGGATCAGAGATGGCCTACTCTATATGGAAGGTCCTTGATTCAATTTTTTCTCTGATCTTTCCATTCTTTGGTGTCTTTTTTTCCCTTTATTGACCCTACTCATTGAGACTGTTATGATGGCACCTACTCTAATAAGGTTTTATTTTTGGTGGAACCGGGGATTGAACTCAGGCCCTTGCACTTGCCAGGGAAGTGCTTATTCCACTGAGCCATCTCCCCAGCCCTCTAATAAGGTTTTAACTATTTTCAACTAGGGCTGTAAAACTAATTAGGCCCTTAACTTCTTACATGCCTAGAGACCCTGGCTCTGTATCCCCTAGCCTGAGGTGTGAATTTTTCTTTTAGTTTTTAAAGATTTTCTTGAACTTTATTATCAAATGTCTACTATACAAAAAAATGAACCAAAAAGGGAAAGCATTTGGGAAATGTATCACTGAAGAGTCACAATGTTTAACAGCATAGCCTATGGAACAGCATAATCTCAGCTCTACTGCTGATTAGCAGTAATTCTTGGGAAGATACCCCACTTGGATGATAGTAGTATCTACCTCATAGAGTTAAAAGGATATTCATACAAATATTTGAAAAACATTAAAACAAAATCTAGCACATGGTTATTGATATGCTTACAAAACAAAACAGAACATTAAATTGAATGAATTAGGATAGGGATATAGCGCAGTAGCACTGTGTCTGCCTGGTAAGTCCAAGGTCCTGAGTTCAATTTCCAGTACAACAAAACGAAACAAAACAAAACTGGGTGACTTTGTCTATGAATCTGTCAGATTATCCCTATTCTCTTTCCATCTTCTGTAGTAGATATGGGCACACAATTCTGTGTCATTTTTATTCCTTCATGTTATATATACTGATACGATGTCCACAATTACTGTCAAATTTATAGTGATTACCCAAAAGAAATAAGGCTAACTGTCTAACAATGTAGTAAGAAGCACACAAAATATAAGGACACTTTGAGTGATTTAGTGTCACTGCTGTCCCAACAACATCAGCCTTTGACTTATGCAGACTACTTTTTATCATTAGTAGTCTCAATGATTCCTGGCAATCACAAGGACTTGGGTTTGATCCCCAGTACCACATACCATGCCAGCCACCGAAACCATCCATGCTGGTGTATGCCAGTAATCCCAGAGCTGGAGAGGCTGAGATAGGAGGATCACTATAAATCTAAGTTGTGTGGTGAGACCCTGTACCAAATAAATAAATAATAAATAAATAATAGAAAAATAAAAAATAAATACACCCTGTGGCATCCAGGAATTCCTACCTAAGTAACATGACCTGGGAGTGAGGAGATTTTATTATATACTACTATTAATTTTATAGGTAGATCAGTGCATGCCAGTAATCCCAAAGCTGGAGAGGGATTTGTTGAAGAATAAATATCCTATTAAATACTGTCATTGCTCATTTGTTCCCCCACCTATCTCTCTTTCAAACTGATGATTAAACTTAGAACATTGTACTTGCCAGGCAGGTGCTTATGCCACTGAACAATATCTCCCCAACACTCCTTTCTTAAATTCAAATATATTGTGTTTTTTGGGGGGACTGCCCCTTAGCTCAGTTATTTAAGTGCCTGCTTAAGTGAAGGCAGTCAGCCTCAGGATACTGTGGTTCAATCCCCAGATCCTCATGCCTTACCAGACCTGCCATTAAGGCATCCTGAGCCAGCAAAACAAAGAACAAAAAACAAAAAATCCCCTCAAATTTATTGTTTTTTATTCTAACATCTGGACTCTCATATAATAGCAAAATCTATGTGCATTCTAAAATTATGCACAGTATGTGAATATCTCCATCCAGTATTCTGGCCTGATGAACATCTATTTCTAGTCAAACACCATTCTTGGCATATGGTTTTCCCTTAGTAATATGAGCCTCACTCTTACGTCACCATCCTATGGCCCTTGGATCTCCATAGACCTGGGTGATATTGGCATTGATGTGAGTCACATGGTATCTCTGTCTCTGTCTCTGCATCTCTTTCCTCTCCCTTTCCCTCTGTCTCTGTCTATTGTCCTCAGGAGGTCCTGCTGCACAAATGGTGCAGAGTATCCTAAGGTGTATAGAGTCCTTGGGTCCCACAGAACAGGCCTAGGCTGTGTGGTCCATTCCCCAGCGGTAGGTGTGAGCTGTAGACTATATAACCACAGAGTTTCTGTGTGTTTACATTGTACCTGTGAATTGAATTGTAGGCCTGCATGGTGATCGGTGGCAGCCATGTAGGTGATCAGATTCCCCTGGAAGGTCCAGTGGATGAGGCCACTTGATTGAAGAGAGGAATGGTCTAGAAACGGAGTTTTCATCTCCCTACACATCCTCTGTCTCCACCATGGCTAGCAGGCCTGTGAGGTCTGTTTAGAACTGCCAAAGTCCACTGAAGACATCCTGATGCGAGTCCAAGATCCTGTCCTTGGTAGAAGGTGTCATGTCTGTCTTTTGGCCTGGGGCCCACACCTCAGCCCCCAGACAAGGGTTCCTTACAAGGTCCCTTAGTGGCTTAGGTTTCTCTTGCTTATGGACATTGTCTGTATTCCTGGTTGGGTTTTCTGGGACAAGGAATGAGAGTACAAGCATCAGCTTTGAACAGACCTTGCAACTGCTTGTCCTGGTGAGGTGCTGCATGGCATTTGAGTTTGCACGGCAGCTGGCCATCAGTGAGCCCCTCAGAACAGGAGTTCTCAGCCACTGAGTGTCCATGGCTGCAACCTGCCCAATCAGTGTGCTGTGGCTCTTCCAGCCACTTGGCACCTAAAGGGAGACATGACAGCAGCGTTTAGTGTTCAATGAAGTTACAGATGGCATGTTTAGGTTGAAGGTCCTTGGTGAGCAGAGGCAAGTCCTGGGTTGAGCGAAAGGTGCACTGCAGGTAGTGCTTGCAGGAGGCACTGTCTTGTGTTTTGTTCAGAGTTGGGAACCCATCAAGACAGATAACCCATACTATACTTATCCTACATGCACATGGAAGCCAATGAACTCCTATGGGTGGGAAGCTCCCAAATATCACAGACAGAAGAAAAAAAGTTAGGGTCACTCTAGAGGTCAGCATGGCATGGAATATGTGGATGGACATCTTTCTGTCTCTTACATGGGTTTTTTTCCTTCCTTAGGGTGAGCTTCCTGTACCAGACTGCTGTCAGCTGCCAGCTTCTGCATCCCCGTTCGTAGTGGCCCCAGGAAGTTATTGCAAGCCTCTTGTCCTGAGAGTGAGTTCCATAGCTGTGGAGAGCTCAGGATGGTAAGCATTTCTTTCCAGAAGGAGTAGATGTCCAGTGGATCTTGTCGTGTCACCACAACCTGTGTCTTTTTGGGCCAGAAATGGCCTATTGGGGTTCACACCTTACACGCATGTGTGCTCCAGGACATGGTGTGGAGGCAGCAGTCTGCAGGGCTTCCAGTTTTTCCAATCAGAGCAGTACACATGGCTGTGGCATCCTTGAGAGCTCACAGATTGATGATGACACTCAAATTACAATCTTTTGAAAAACTGAACAAAATGAGTAAAACCCTAAACCATTGTTATCATTACTGAGGTCCATGTCCCTGTCACTAGCAGAGATTTCAGGAGCAGATCTTCCTGTTCTCCAGCACAGCTTTCTCAGCCCACAATGGGATTCCACCCAGCTTAGCCTCCTGTCCCCTGGGACTTAAGGGGCCTGTGCTTAGGATTGAATGCACCCCACATTTATGGTTTCTGTATAGGGAATTGGTACTTAGCAGGGCTTGCTGAATACCACTTGTGCCGAGTTGGGTGGTACTCCTGCCTACTACTTGGCAGTGCAGAACTTCAGTTGTCAATGGGCCCAGTCTTCATTTTCCTGGCAAAGGCTAGTCTAGCCCTGAGGGACATTGTTGTATAGCTGGTGAGTCAGGTGACTGAAACCAGGGCTACAGATCATCATGGTGTGGAACAGGAAATGCTGGGCAGACCCAGTTGCCATGCCCCAAAAACCACTAATTTTATGGCTCATGTTGGACTACAGGTAGCACAGAGATAGCCCTGTCTGAAACCTCAGGATGACCTGACTTCTCGCCATGTAGCCAGTGGCCATGTATTTTGGGATTCAGTGTTCTTGAGATGTTGTGTGGAGCTCCATATTAAGTCCCACCCAAGTCCCCACAAGGTACCCTTGGTTTTTAGTCCCTGCATTCTGTTTTTTAAAAAAAAAATTAAATTTTTATTTTTTCCATAATTTTATTGAGAAACAAATAGCAATGAGACAGTTTCAAACCAAATTGGTAGGACAGTTTCAATAATTAATACATTGCATATATTCTTCCTAGTAGTTAATTGCTGTACAAGATGCAGACATAATATCCTATTTACAAACACCATTAGAACAAATCTCTCTATTCATTAACAGAATGTAACTATATATCTAACCTAACCACTTTGAATACATAGATACAAAATGAACATTCATCTGTATCCCCTTTTTTGTTAAGTTCCGTTATTTGAATATTATAGGTGTGTAAACTCAGCAAAATATTCTAAAAGAGTCCAGT